CTCAAAGCAGAGACGGGCAAAGTTAGGCCTTGGGGCAACCTGTGAGAGCACCCAAGGCTGGTTCTTGCAGCACCCAGACTTGCCAAGAGTGGTAATTTTAAAATAGGCTTCAGATCCCTGTGAACCGCTTAACATAAAAGTAAAAAATGCTGTCTTTCTCTAATTCAGACACTGACATAATTCAGACAAGGACCTTTTTAGACATCTATGGGCCTTGGAGGACTACAAGGGTAGAAAATCAGCCCCTCAGTACAACACAGTTTCCTACTTCTGACCTCAACAATGTTCCTGGGGCTCAGAAAATATAAAAGGCAGGAATATGTGGCCCTTTAAATATTGTTATCTGGATATAGCTATGCCTAATTTGCATAGCAAATGGTAAATGATTTTGGGTCTTTGATCTAAGAAAATTTGCATGGCTACGTATCCACTAGCTCTTTTGGAAGCAAATGCCATGTGACTGCAGGTTAGAAATGTGTGTAATTCATTGTCTTATACTTTGAAGACGTTTCTGACTTACAGTGACTGTAAGGTGCCCTGTCATGAGGCTGAGAGAGTATGACTTGCCCATGGTTTCCATTGCCAAGTGGGAATTTGAATCTTGGTCTTCCAGAGCTCAAATCCAGTACTCAAATTACTACACCATCTTGGCTTGTGTGTGTAATAATCCCCCATAAATCAAAGAACAAGGAGTCAAGAGGAGCTGTGTCTGCCTTTGATAACCCACTGGAGATTTAAAAGATGTTTGACTGTGTCCCACCGTCCACAGTTCCCACTGGCGTCAACCATCAGTAGATGACCATTCTGAGCTGGGAGACATCAACAAAGACATCAACAGCTTCCGTTCCACCTGGACAAAGTATATCCAAGAGAACAAGCAAAAGTGGAAGGAGAGGGCTGCCAGCGGTAAGGATTGGCTGCTGCGCAGATTTGTGTGTGTGCTTATGTGTGATGTGACCATTCTCTCTTAGATCTGGAGAGGAAGTATATTCAGTGCAACCCTTTTTCCAGGTTCCAATGGTTGGTGATGACACGATAAATAAATAAATAAATCCAGGTTCCAATTTTATAATGGTGTCTTCAGCCTTGCCAGGCCTTAATAGGTCCTAGCCAGACTACAAACATATAATTCATTCAGTCCATTCATCACATAGAGGCATTTGTCACTTGCACCTATCATGATCACCTCCACCATTACCATGTGAATTACATTTTATCTTGCCTAATGGCTAGGACAGAGTCCTCAAAGGAAGCTCAGTGAAATGAGGACCCAACACAGAGGTTCTTGGTCCTACTACACCTGTCGTAGCGCCTGCATTGTCCTTTCCTCTGTCTGCATAGAAGCATTTCTGCCATGTATTTCAAGGCTTGTGCTTTGTCATATGCCATGTCAGACTACACCTTGACTTTCCAAGGTCTCTTTACTTTTGGGAGAGGTCACTATCCAGAATATCCTACTTCTAACTCTACCATTCCCTCTCTAGGGATTACAAACCAGACCTCCATTGATGAGCTCTCACCATGTGAGGAGGAGCCAAGGACGCCTGAAAACCAGCACAATCAGAATGGCAATGTGGAATAGTGCAGCCTGTGTGAGAGAGCAAGGTGGGTGTTTCTCAACAACAGTGTGACTTATTTGTTGGCAGGAATCCTGCTCAAGACTCCTTTAGGCTTTGTTTGTTCCTCTCCATTTCTTTAGTTTTAAATGGTGTCACCTAGGAGCAGGCTTATCATTTCAGGAGGTGGCAAGCTGTGGGTGGGCTGGAAAGGGGGAGGCAGAAGTGATATCGGTATAGTTCAGCAACATTTTTTTCCAGTGGATCATTGGAGGTGTTCCATTTCATCTTCATTTCAGGAAGCAAAATATCCTGAGCTAGGACTTTAAGATCGTCTGGGAAGGCCCTGCTCCCGATCCTGCTGGCGTCACAAAAACGTTTGGTGGGGATGAGAGACAGGGCCTTCTCAGTGGTGGCCCCTCAGCTATGGAACCCTAACAACCTTAACAACCTAACCCCAACAACCCTAACCCTAACAATCCTAACCCTAACAACCCTAACCCTAACAACCTTAATCCAAAACCTAACCCTATCCCTATCATCCCTTTCCCTATGCTGAGAGCAGATTTGGGGCCAAAATTATGGATAAATCAAGCATCATTCTGTGGAGAGGGGAAAGCATCATTGCTGGCTTGGAACCAGCTGCCCCTGGGCACTGCAACAATTTTTCTTCCAAGGCATTCAAAAAAGTTGTCAGCTGCACCAGAGCAGAGAGTAGAAGGGCTTGGTGTTTTCTTTCAGTTCTGCCAGGGCAGACTAAGCTCTTGTGTTCTGCCATTCTGTTAAGAGAAGAGGATGGTTATTTCTTGATGAGAGGTACTGTACTCACATTGACCCATGGTAAGTTGATCCAGGTTTATGGGTTGATTTTTACATGAGTATATAGGGCATTCCCTCTTGATTCCCAGTGACATTTGATTAAAGCTGACCTGGCCTTACAGCAGTGGCGGGTAATCTGTGGCCCTTGTGTTGCTGTTGGCTTATAGTCTTAGTCACAAATGGGAAAATATTTGGAAGGTCACAAGTTGCCCACTTTCACCTAGAGATATGGATCTGGTCCCTTCTCACAGCTAGCTTTCAGTATCAACACCACCACCACCCTACCACCCCAGTCTGCTAAATGTAAGAAAACTGGCCTATTTTGAAAGGTGATTGTGGGCACTTTGTGCACCGTGAAGCAACGTGCCAATGATAAGACAGGGCAATACCCATATCTACCAACTTGATTTCCACTTATTTCACTTACTTGCTCTTCAGAAGGTATTCCCCCTAGAAATGTTTGTGGGCATTTCTAGGTCTTCAAATGCTTTGTTTCCAGTCAAAGTATAGTCAAAACATAGGGTTTGCTATCATCTGCATTTTCATATATCTATGGGGGTATTGGAATTCTCCACTTCATTAATATGGAGGTTGAACTGTATTGTTATTTCCAGATAGAAAAAAACCAGTAATTGGCATGGTTTATTCCAATATCTTCCAATATCACTCCCCCACCCAACTCTATTGTTTTACCCACACACATATGTGGAACACAACACTGAGTCTGGCTCTTGATTGTATTTCTGTTTAATTGACAGGTGACTGTCGCAAATTTACTCCGATGTCTTTGATACCATCGATTCAGCACCATCCGCACAGGGAGAGGGAGCCACACCCGGGTGCCCTGGCTCGAGGAGGGTGTGACGTGAATGCGACCATCAATACTACTAGTAATAATAATAATATTAATAATGATAAATGCAAACGATGTCGACATCACACACAGCACCCACTGCCTGTCCCATCCCTGAGCTACAGAGAATGAGAGAGACCCCCTCCCCCATGTGTATATTCCCCTCCTAAGTCACTAAGTACCCATGGACCAACGGTCTCTGTGGCCTCTGGGGATTGCCATACATTTGCATACAAGCAATCACACACAAGTGCACACATCTTTTTCCCCAGAAGCATCAAACAGCTCGGGTAAGGCTTCTCACTGCCAAACAGCAAAGTGACTGCCGAGGTGATTGCTGAACTGGTTTCTTGAAGAAATATGATGGGCTATGCCTGCATTTTGCATGGGGAAAGTTTATGGAGTTCATTAGGCCTGGTAATTGTGTCTACATTGGAAAGCAGTGGCTGGCAGGGAGAATCTTGCCCTCATGTATCAACACGGCTCTCAGATGCCCTTAGAAGTGATCTAAACCAATTGTACCCAGAATTCAACCCCTTGCCACCCCTCCTGTAAAATTTCCTTAGTAGACTAGTTTTCCCAAAGCCTCTCATACGTTCAGCCTTTTGAGTGACAATGCTTTATCTTAAAACCAAGCAGTCTTGTCTCCATTGTTTCAGCATTAAACCAAACTGGCTCAGAATTATGGATGCCCAATTTTAAGCCTCCCAAGCAGTATAGCAACCTATGCTTTTTAAAAAAACCTCCTTTACTGATTGCCTGGTAATCATGGCCCTATTTGACAGATGGTTTGTCATGGGTCAGGAGTTGGAGCTCTGTTGAATTTCCTCCTCCTCCTCTCCGTAGGCCCTTCCATCACATTTCAGAGATGTGCAATATGGATGCCAGATAGACCTTGGCACAGGTGATCATTCTACAGGTGTTAACTTCTGGGAAAAAGCTTTCTTTATTATGTTTATTTATCCTCCACTTTTTCTCTCTCCACAAGGAGACTCAAAACGACTTTATGGGGCAATTCTAATTTGTATATACAGTACCTATTTCAGTACAGAGCCATATCATGCAGTGTGTGGGCTTGGGCAATCTGTAGGAATCATTTCTCTATGGCTGACATGCACATGTACATCTTCCTGTGTGAGGGGGGTGGAGGCCGGAAGGGCCGCTTACCTCTGGGAAGGTCATTCCAACAGAAGTGAGAGCAAAGGGTTTTATGGATCAGGCAGATTAAGATTTAACATGAGCTAGAATCATTGTTTTTTTTTCCTTTTTTTCAAAATGCGGGCTCACTTAAGTAATAATGGAAATAGCAAAGTGTAGAATATTCTTAGCTTAAGGTGCAGATTGTGCCAATATATCTGACATGCAATGGTATGTCTATTCAGGACAGAGGATGGACTCTAAGTCCAGCATTTCTTTCCCTTAAATCCCAGCATTTCTCTTCTGAATAGAATTAAGGCATTGGCTTAACAGACTAAGACTTGTGGTCACTGCTAGGCTGCAGTTTGTGAAAAGACAACATCAAAAATGATCCTAGAATTTATCTTAAGAGTTCTTGCATGAGTTTGAAGAACATCAGGTTTTAAGGAGTCAAATTGGCTCGTTCTTAGCAAGTGGAGGTCATTCTACTTTGATTTTTGCTGTTCCAGATGGCTGTTCTGTTGCAAGGCCATCTATGTTTACTAATGTAACTGGAAGGAAACATGGCAGCGAAGACTGGGCCCCAAGGAGGAGTGGTAGCTGCTGAAGAGCAGGGTAAGAAAAGTAACAAATATGAAAGGCAGATTGGGGACAACTATATGTGGATCCATCCAAATTCCTGTTCTCAACATAGCAATGTGGCATGTCTCTTCTTATGATGAGGATTGACTCTGAGAAACTCTGCCTCAGGCCGAGTTGCACATTTGTAGAAAGTATACGGTACAGTCTCAAGAGGATCATACATTTTTGGCAACAGAGACACATTCATTATCCAGGTCAAAATCTAGGATAGAAAATCTAGGGTCCCGGCAGGAGGTATTCTTTAAAAATGTGCAGAGATGCCATATATGCACATGTAATTCCTCCATACTGTCTGGTTCTAATTGGGCTGACGCTAGTATTTGGAACATTTGAGGTAGGACACATATTTTACTTCTCCTGTTGAACCAATAGGTTTTGCCTTCAGATGACAGGGCCTGAGTATTCTTGCACTTAAGAATGTGGACGTGGGATCAAATAGGTGAGCTCTTTTGGCATATTTCAATAACATCCCCATGCAAGGCAGCCACAGAGTATGCAGATTTATGGAGGCAGTGTGAGAGAAACTGTAGTTGAGAGGCTTCTGAAAGCTGCCAGAAGTTTGGGAGGAAAAGTGGAATGTTTTAAAGTCTGTGGCAGAACAAGATGGTGCTCCATTTCTTCAAAGAGAAGTGTTTGCCCTCTCCTGAAATATTTTAGGTCACGCAATGAACTTCAGGCCTGAGTTTCTCCCCATGTTGGAACCTGCTCCCCATTCCCCTCACTTCCACTTAGAATGAAGACATGGCTAAGAATATGTTCCATATGTATTCTTCAGCTCTGATGTCTAACACTTTGAATACTTCTTCTGACATGGTTGAACAAGGACCATCAAGGGGTAGAGTTATCATCCCTCTGCTGTGTCTCCACCTCACCCACAAGTGACCAAACAAGACATAACTTTGCTGTTCTCATTACCACCCACCCACACTGGGCTCCCCATGGCATTGTAAATACCCCTATTCCTGCCGTCAACACATTTGGTCCGTGGAACTCTGTATGTATTTGTACCTCGGACATAAATTTTCTACCATGCAGTAAGTAACTCTTTTTTTTTTGTTTTGTTCTGTTTCTTGAATTCAAAATTCTTATTATAAACAGATCCATAGTCCAATGCAGACTTCCAAGTTATACGCATGTAAAAGAAACGTAACAAATAAAAGGAAAAGAATGAACAGCAACAACAAAAATAAATAAAAATGATGGGAAAAAAGAGAGATGCGGATTGAGTTCTGTTTTGTATACACAAGAAATACCATTACAAAGGATTGTAAATGGAGATGATCTGTTTCGAGTTCCTGCTGTTTTTGCATGCTATTCATGCCTAGTTTTTCCTCCATCTTTAAAAAACAAACCCAAAACACATCTGGGATATCACTTAAAAACATAATTGTGAATATTTTTTTCAGATATTTATGAACATTGATTCTACTGGGTTTTGGGCATGGGAATTGTATTGTAACCTTTGGCAAAGTGCAACATTCAGATTGGTAGCTACATGTCTGCTGGATGTTCAATTATATCAGAATTTGCCAGGATCAAATATCTCAAGCATTCCTGCTTGCAGAAAACAGTGGTTATCAAGATTTGAGGGGTGATGGAGAGGAGGTTAAGCCTCACCTTATTCATGCATTCATCAAATGATGATGAATAGGATCCATTTCCAGACACTGGAAAGAAGATTCAGCCTGCTCCTTGAACTGTCCCATTCTGATCAATTCAGAATGCCAGCTTACCTCCACACTTTCCATTTGGTGCATACATGAGATGGTATGGGGGGCCTATTTTCCACATCCTGTTTTCTTCCTCAAGCATCTCTTGCCACCATGTGATGAACTGTGACTATGCTCACTGATCATAAAATTAAGAAAACAATTAAAATAACAATTCTAATGCCCTGAACTATACTTAAGACAACCATAGACTGTATATGAATGCAGATACAAGTATTGCTTTACTGTTGTATCTATGCTCTATATCCATGGACTACTGTTGCGAAGTTGTATTGACTATGTCATGAAGTATCTGAACAGTCAATTGGTACAGCATTAGAATCCCGTAGTGCCTATCTAGGATTTCCCTCCCCTTTAACTTTCAATTATTCCACCTTGCAGACCTTGCTAGAGAGAATCTCTGCCTTTGTTCTTCCAGAAATGTGTAGCCTTTGTAGTTTATCTTCTCACAGAGAGACTCTAGGTGTCAGAACAGATCCAGTCATGGGCTGAGAGGCACATTTGCAAAGCCAAGGGGAGGAGGAAACATATCTTTATCAGCATTTTGAAGGATGGCGGCTGAAAGACAGAGCCAGCGACTGGGAAACTCACAAAGCAAGCGAAGATGACCCGTTTAATAAAAGAAGCGGGATTCACATGTGTGGCAGGTTGGTGGGGAGGGCAGGGAGTCCAGAATTGCAATCCAGATATGTACAACAGTGTCAACAATTCAAGGATGCACAACATTGAAACTTAATGTTAACCTCAAGTGGGTGGACCTTGGTGTTCTCGCACAGGTTGTAGCCTGGTGCTGCCAACTCTTTAGCTGAGATATGATTACTAATGATGGTGTCGAGCAGGAGATGGTAGAAAACCTACACTTCCATTGATGCTGTTGGACTCCAAATCACAGAGCTGATGGAAGTTGGAGTTCAATGACACCTGGGAAGACATCTCCTCCCTCACCTCCTGGCTTAGAGAAGGGACTCAATTCAGTTGAGGGCTCCAGCTGAAAGTACTGCTGCCAGAGACACGGTGAGAGTGTTTTTCTTTAATTCCTTATCTAGAGTGTCTTCAGCTGGCTTTCTTATCAGGCTGGAGAAACCTACCAATGTTTTCTAGTGGTTAGAAGAAAATGTTAAATACTGCTCATATGTCATGTATGAAGATAAAGAATAGGCTGGTATTTCAAGGACTCACTACTGTGTAACAAAGAGCGGTAGGTATACACTTGTGTCCCTAGGAAACAAGGGTACTTATTTCTTGTGTGTGATGCCATTTGGTGGTTACGCACACACGATTGAGGCTTGTAGGTGGTTTAAAGGGAGGAAAACCTGTTGCCCCCAGAAGGCACTGCTGGATGGCACTATTCCTGATGTGGAGGCAATTGAGTTTGAGGGGGAGGGATCAGGAAGGGCAAAAATGCCCTGTCATTGATTGAGACACCCTACAACTCTCAGGCAGGAATATTACTAGAGTGTGGATGACTTAAAGATGGGGTCTGTAATTTGGAAATGGAAAAAGTGAATGGCCATAGCAACTGCCAGGGCCCTGCCTTTGGAAAATAGTGGAGAGACTTCCACAAGTAGACACCCATCTGTACTGAGGAGGACCCAGTTGTATGGATGCTACCATGAACTAAGGCATGTTCCCATCCTAGACCAGCAGTCTTCTGCCTCCTTTTATAGTATCATAGAATTGGAAGAGACCTCGTGGGCCATCCAGTCCAACCCCCTGCCAAGAAGCAGGAGAATTACATTCAAAGCACCCCTGACAGATGGCCACCCAACCTCTGTTTAAAAGCCTCCAAAGAAGGAGCCTCTACCACACTCTGGGGCAGAGAGTTCCACTGCTGAACAGCTCTCACAGTCAGGAAGTTCTTTCTAATGTTCTTTCCTTCTGATGTACACTAGGAAAAGCTGTGTATTTCCCAGTATGTACTACACCATGTACTATACCACCACCATATCTATAAAAAGTGGCCTGGTAGAGAAAGTTAAACCATAATTCTTCTCTAATTGTGTTGAGGTTGAGTATCTCTTATCCAAAACCATGTATGTTCCTTATTTCTGATTTTTTTTCAGGTATACATAATGAGATATCTTGTAAATGAGACACAAGTCTAAACACTTATGTTTCACATATACTTAGCCTCAAGATACCTTTATACACAGTTTAAAAAATAAATTGGTGCATGAAATAAAGTTTGTGTACATTAAACCATCAGAACGCAAAGGTGGCACGCGTGAACAATTTTGGGTTCTGAAGTATTTCAGATTTTGGAATTCTGGATAAGCGATATTCAACGTGTATAAGCAAATAGTTCTTTTACATTTAGTCACGTGGACTCCACCTGCAAGTTTAAAGTGGCACAGTTTCAGACATCAACTCATCTCCTGTTCAGGAGAACTGGGCCACTGTTAAAAAGAGCTATAACACAGAGGCTCTGCCAGTTCTGATTTTAAAAAAACATCAACTTTCTATTGCTCTAGGCTTGACTCATAATCTTTTTTACACCTGTAACTGACTATTAACCCACAAATCGAATGGATAATTTCCTCCCCATAACATTATTATTTTTCTTACAAACGAAAAAGCATTACAAACATCTGAACAGCAATTGAAATCTTAAAAAAAGAAAGGAAAACCACAATCATTTTAAAAAAGGGAGAGGAAAAAAGAAAAGAAAACAGCTGTGAGATATTCCATCGGATAGGCACGAGCCCTGCCTTCAGATGTAGCCTCCATACCAGAAGTTGATAATCACCTGCACACAAACAGAAATAACAAATATATTAATGAATGTCTGTGTTAGATTTTTCAATATTATCTTTGAAATAGTTTTCAAAGTAGAGATGGGTTTATTTAGGAGTGGCTTAGTTACTTGGCATTTAAGCATACTTAATTAAGAAGCATCTCCTAAGCCCAGCTTTCCCAATAGTACCTTCCTGGGCAGCAGTCACGGTGAGTGATGAAGGTCTGTTATGCTGTCACGTCTGCTGTTTCCATCTCCTTCCCATCAATGGTCTTTGGTGTATCAATCAAAAGCAAGATCCCTGTTGCAATACCCTCCTATACTGGAGATTACTAGCAGAAGGGCTGCCTAAATGTTTCTATGCTGCATCTTGATCAATGCAGATCAGATCTCTATTGCTCACAGAGGCTGCTGTCAAGTAAAGGAAGATTGGAAGACTTTTATGATCATGCTAATGGTATTTATAGAGACCATGAATATGAATCCGTCATGGATGTGTAATGAGGTCAAGATACTCTAGTTGCATCCTGTCCTAGAAATCCTGTACTTAGCAGGGTATTGTACATGATGAGATCCAGGATCCCTTCTACTATCTAAGTTCTCTAAGGCAGAGCGGGAATTATTTGGCCCTCCAGGTGTTGTTGAACAGGAGATTTGAATATTCTTCATTACTGACTATGTTGGCCAGGGATGCTGGAACATGCATGTCCAACAGCCCAACAACCCCTCACCTTCAAGTTCTAAGACCTCTAGTTGATCATCTCAACTAGAGCTGATCTATTCACTTAGTGGCACTTACTAGCCTTTCACTGATTCAGTGGGTCTGCTCCATTTGGGCCAAATAACTAAGGGCCCTTTCAGAGAAGCCCTGTATCCCAGGATCTGATCCCAGGTTTTCTGTTTATCCCAGATTACCTGGCAGTGGGGATTCATATAATCCAGTTTAAAGCAGAAAACCTGAGATCAGATCCTGGGATATAGGGCCTGTCTGGGAGGACTCTAAGTCTAAGTTTAATAGTTTAATTCTAATGTGATTAACTGATGTAATCTCCCTACACTTCCAGAACTGTTTTGAAATATTCTACCCAATACAATGCTGTCTCTTGGTCATCAAGAACATCAAAGAACTGTTAGAAAAGGCCATTAAAATAGCAGAAAAATGCAGAAACAAGCAATTCCAATGATCAAGCGGTTGGAACTCCCTACAGTTAATGGCTTAAGTATAATGAGTATTCAGCTCAGAAAAGTGGAACAGAGAAAATACAAAAGAGTCTTATAAAATCAAGTATGTTGTGGACAAAAGTGCATATGTATGTGTACTTTATTCTGCTGCTATGGTAAAGGGACACTGTGCACTGTATGTAGGACTGACCTACTAAAACTGTCTGGCAACAGATTCAGAGCAGATACGTCCTTCACAAACACAGAATGAAGCTCAAATGTCACAAGAGATGTTATCAGGCAAATTGATGCAGGATAGCTTTGACAATGACTACTTCATGGGTCTTCCCATGCTTAATGGGTCTTCCAAGCACTAGTTTTCCTTCAAATCAGAGAGGGACATGTGGGTCTCCATATATGGTTGATCTGCATCTCCTATGACCCTATAATTGCATAGGTTGGCTAAAGTGGATGAGAACTGTGGCCCCACAATGTCTGGAGGACTGGACATTATCTAGCCTACTATAAGCAGAGGCAACATTAGTCTGGATATTGTCATATAGGACTGGCAGGGGTGCGTCCTGGCAGGGAGGGAAAGGCTAGAGGAGAGATGCTGCTTTAGGTGCCTTCCTGTTTGTTCAGCGTGCTGTTGGAAACCAGATGTTAGGTCCCTTAATCCCCATCAGTAGGGCTCAGCAATTGTATGCAAACAATATCGAACCCATATTGGAGAAATTGGGATAGTGTGTCTGGAGGGAGCACTCAATGTGTCTTCTACAGGACCGGCATTGTTATCTCTCTTTGCCAGGGAAGCTCCAATGCCTTCCTTGACCTGACTGCTGCAATTCCTCAAACTACTGGAGCATTAGAAGACTGGTGATGGGACAACCTATCCATCCTACAAAGAGAAAAGCTTACACACAACTATAGGATTGCATATTTTTAGACATATGTACAACTGCCTATGGATTAATGTTGAGACTGAGTTAACCCATTCTTCCATAAAAAGCCTAAGAGAGAGAGATAGAGACAGACAAAATGTGATGGAATATTAAAACTGACTAGTGGACTTTTGCTGATCCTTGTGCAGATTGCCTGAAGACCTGAAGACAATGGACTTCTCACTCTGCCTGCCAAAAGAAATCTAGTGCATTTTTAGTAGGAGGTAGGCATTACTGGTCTGCACATGCAGGTAGGCAGTATGAGTACACAGGAGTCTAGGGGAGGGCATCACGAGGACTTGTGTCCTTTCTTCTCAGAGACCAATTTTGTCCCTTCATTCGAGATGCAGACAATGGTGCAAAATAATGTTGCTTTCAGCTTTGATTAAGCTCAGGCTTGAGTGAAGCATTTGAACTTTCCCTTTGACCAGTTTGATCTCGGGCAAACTAATCTAAGCTGAAAGGGGAACTAATTGAAGTCACAGTGAGACTTTATAATGCCCACCAAGGGAAACAGATACTCACAGTGCTGTCTCTGACTCTCTCCCTCCTCTTCAATTCATGCACACAGCAGAGTATCACACCACCATTCGGGTGAGCATGGTGCGATACAGCACATTCACACAAGCTACAACACCTTAATCTGAGTGAAGCTCTTCAAATCATTTTTAACCTTGGAAATCGCACAGAACTGGCTGAATTCCAGTGAGGCTACTGGGTGCCAGATATTGTCAAGCTAACACTGATTCCCCTATAAACAAGCTCAAACATTTGGTTTCTTGTAATATTGGTAGGGGGCGGGAGAAGAAAGGAAGAAAAGAGACCTTTTGCTGTTATTATTGATGAATTAAGATGTAGACAGCCCTTATAAAACAGTCCATCACTGGTCTGCTTATTTCCCCACAGAGATATCAGATTAAATTTTGAAGTACAGATGGAAAGAACATCTAAGTGTCAGAAAACTCTGACATGGAGAATCCTCCTGAAAGCTCATCTTCCTCAAGGATTACTTCTGCCCATTCCAGTCCAGACTAACTCTTTTCTTGCCCCCTCCACCACCATGTAAAGTATGTGGGATAGACCCTCTTTCACTGAAGACTTTAAATAGAGACTGTGTGCCCACCTCTCAGGAGTGTATTCCTGAATGGTAGGTGGTCCCTTCCAGCTCTGCAATTCTAAGCCAACCTACTATTTTCCAGGGCTGTGAACAAAACAGCCCAATGCTAACCTTGAATGAAGCATCTAATCATTGTTGGCTTTGTTCTTATACCCAGTTGATATGATTATGTCATCTATCTAGTCATGGCAAGGTAGCAGTGGTGAGAGTCAGCTGAGCAAGGATCACAGTCACCACTTTCTGCTACCCCAAATATGACAAAGTTTAGATCCAACCAAATGATTGAATAGACACCCAACAGGTGAATTCTTCTAATGGAGATCCTACATGTGTGCATGACTCTGAATGTACAGTTCTACATCCTTCCACTGTCTAGACCTTCTGTCTAGACCTGGGAGTGCCCTGCTGCTGTTGCTCATTTGTAGGGAGATGAGAGCTGAGGTAGACTATGGCAAAACCGGTGATGTCAGCATGGCTGGTGGATGGGGGTGATGTATTCTTGCAAATGGAGCACACACATCCTTTTGGTCTCCTAGGAATTCAGGGCAGCCAGACAGCCTGAATTGCCTTCCACCATTTCCTTTTGGTGAGAAGAAGGAGAAGGAGCCACTCAGAGACCTGGAAGGTTTTTGCATTGAGGACAATAAGGAGAGAATAACTCTGCCACCCTTTTATTTTCCAGGGCTGTGAATTCTCAGCTACTTTGCTGTGCATCCCATCCAAAAACAATTTAATAAGGTGTGTAAATCATTAACAGGATATAAGCCAAAGTGGTAGTGGTAGTGGTGGTGCAGGGGGACAGGGAGTAGACATAGATTATCTTCAACCCATAAATCTTAATGTAAACCCTGAAGAGGTGAACATTTGGCACCACCTAAGTCCCTTACTTGCAATAGATTTCTCTATGAAGATCTTGCGGGTGGGGAGGAACACATTGGTACTATGACTTGGATAATAGACCCGATATACTCCTGGTTTTGCATTCCACAAAGGAGCTGAGCTCTCGCTTCCTTCTCACTGCTACCCCCAACCAGCTTTAGATGTATCATGGTACCTACTCCTTGGCCAGCCGCTCCTTTCCCTCCGGTGGTATATGGACTCCTTGCTTCTCTGACGACAACCCTGGTCTTGCGTTATGAGGTCTCTCTGCTCCGCATGCTCCAGGAATTCTTCCTTCTGCAAAAAACAATGTCCCCAAAAGTCTATGAGGAAATATGCAAAAGGTAGTGTGTGCAAGAGAGACAATGAAATGACAACACTGGCAGATGCTCTCATAATAAGCCCAAAGAAGCTGTCAAAATAGTGCCCCAGAGAAAACTCTCCAAAACTGGGTCACCAAGGAACAGTGGAAACTAGATGAGATTCACCGTTACATATAATTCCCACTAGCTAGATGCACAAACAGGCCCTGAATTTGTCATAATTGCTTAAGAAGGATTTGAGGAGTTATATTAATGAGTAAACGCGCAGTGAAAATGCTAAATCCATTATGCCGCTACAATCATAATCCTCTCTTCATCCCAATCCATAGTCAATAAACACCCTGAACTCCAGCTTTCCACATTCCTGACCCATTTATGCTAATAGTGCTAGCAGTTTCAAGCATTCACCTATTTCTGCCCACAATGCCATATGTATCTTCTATGGAAGAGAGATAATTCTTATAGATCTCCATGTGTGACTACTGGAATCTTTTACATATAGAAAAGGTGACAAGAGTGTCTGGTGATTGGCAATGGAATCAGGGGAAAAAAAAGAATATCCTTGCTGTTCAAAGCAAAGCTGTGGCTACCATGTTAATGGAATGGAGAATCTGATCCAGATTTCATCGATGCATACATTAAAGATGCTCTTCAAGATACTAAATCTCGCACATACTTAGAATGCTACTAACATGTAATCCACCCACTGCTACTGCAGTAGCAGTGAGAGGCTTGTGACTTTCTTGACATTCTGGACCCACACTTTAACAAGCCACAACTAACTGAGCCAATGCTCAGGAATGATGGTAGGTGTAATTCAGGAACATCTGGAAGACCACAAGTTCCTTACCTGGTTCTATAGTGTTTGTTGTGTATGCTTTCAGTTCGTTTTCAACCTATGGCAAACCTATGGTGAATGTATCACTGCGTTTTCTTGAACTTACCATACACTAAGCCATTCAAGTTATGCAAATATCTCAACAACCTCACAGTGTCTAATTACTGCAGACTCTTCACAAAAGAGAGACTAAATGCATTTCCATCAGAATTGCTAAATGGCAGACTAATTGGCACCCCCTACTCCCAAAGATTATGCCCGTGTGATGGTAATGAAATAGAACCATTAGACCACATCTTGTTGCAGTGTCGCTATTACTCAGCTCAACGGGGCCAACTCCTACACCCAATCCTGACCCGATTGTCTATTCTCCACAAGGGAAGGTCAGATACCTTTCAAAGGATAAGCACCACAAAGTGACCATCATGGTGGCAAAATTCTTCGCAGCGGCAGCAAGGCTGAGAAAGAGCCTAGTCTCTGACCAGGGTACTACCTGACACTATGTAGTATGTGCCTGTATAGTATATTTCCCCAGATACGAGTGACTCCTGTATGTTATCTATTTAACAGATCCGGGTCCATGGACCGTAATAAAGTTTGTTGGGTTGTCTTGGCTAAATTTGTTTGGGGGTGGGGGTCTTTGTCTCTCTGGGGCTGAGAGTGTGACTTGCCTAAGGTCAGCCAGAGTGAAGAGAGAGGGGGCCAGAAGACAGTTCCACCTTGTCTGCTATGCTAATAATATAATATAATATAATATAATATATAATATAATATAATATAATATAATATAATATAACAAATATAATATAATGCAATATAATATAATATATTGTGTATACATGCAACATTTATAATATTATGTCATACAATATTATACTAATAATAATATGATATTATAATTATATATTGTATATTACATGTAATATTACTAATAATATTACAATATAATGGGATAGTACATTATTGTTGTTGGTCACGCTTGGTCTGACCTCTCTGCCACAACCGTCCCGTCTTGGGTGGCCCTTCACGGTTTCGCTCATGACATCATTGAGGTGCTTAAGCTCCAGCGCCCCGACAAGGCGGTGATCCTTTGCTGGAGTACTGATATTGTACTGTGCTAATAATATAATATATTGTATGTATATATATATCTTGTAAGACGCTCACAAATTTTTTATTTTGTCTGTTTGTTTGCTTTGTTCTGTTAGAAATGTAATATAATTGACTGGTTGCCCTGACACGACAAATAAAAAAGCCACTCAGAGTCACCTTCGGGGTGAGAAGGGTGGCATATAAATGTAAATAAATAAATAATAGTGCTCAAATTATAATTATAATAATTAAAATATTTATTTATACCTCACTTCATCTCTCTCACAGGAGATTCAAAGCTGGCTCTTGGTTTTATAGAATATCACATGGATGCTGAACTGCTTATATTATAGGCAATGTTTCAGGACAAAGGCCTCTTAAGATGACTTATCAAAAGTTAATTAGCTTCACATACATTGCAGGATAATCCAGCTCCATAAACACAGCAGGGATGATGCTGGCAAATGATTAAAAATACATATGTTTCTTGAGAATGGCTTCAATTCCTTGAGGTTCTGCTCTCTCTCTCTCTCTCTCTCTGTGTGTGTGTGTGTGTGTAAGAAGGCACCATAAACACACACATAAAACACCTGCTTACACCTCTCTCCTATCATTTTACTTGTAGTGTTCTATATACATCCCCGTAGAAAAGAAACTCCCTGGCAGATTTGTGAAATGCACAGTAACAGCCCATCCAACTCCAAACCTCTTTTGAATTGCATTGACTCTTTGAACACTTCAAAGCTTTGTAGTCCTTGTTAACTGAAATTCAGGACAAAAAAAAAAAAAGACCTCCCAGAGAATCTGGGTTACTGCAAGGGGAACGAATGGACTTCAAAACAGAAAAATGCTACTCTTTGTGGTGCTGCTACACTATTGAGCCAATTGCTATTGTGCAGAGTCAGCCAAAGAATTTTATTTTATTTTTTTGGCTGCCTTAGGCAAATTAAAAACGTGTACTTGCGGCCCATGTCTTATCATAAGCTGAGCAGCGTAAGAATGCCATATTAAATGATCAAGAGCATGATGAGCTTCTCATTTTCATGTTTTAATCTTTGTAAATGAACTCGCATACTATTGTGTTAACACACAACTTACGCTGCACTAATTCCTGCTTCCACATTCATGGATTCTCATAATGATTGGAATTGTCATTTTGCCTATGAGCGCTCATGGAAAAGAGGACAGTCCCGCCTCTTTTCTCATCCTAATTGTGGAAACAATGCATCCAGTCAAGATCTGTCAAGTTCCAAGAGGAAAACAGGCAATTCAAGGCTTGGGTTCTATTGATGGGGGAGTGCAGAGAAGTACACAGATTAGATATAACTATATCGCCTCTTGTCTCCCTCAACGAGCATCCTGATCTCTCTCTTGCACAGCCTCTTACTCAGAGTGCAATTGCCCTTTGATGTCTTCTCTGTGATGGAAAGACATTAGAGCAAGAACAGCGCTTGTTGGCACACTCTTTCTCTCCCTCTCACATACTCACCCTTGACATGCACATGGATCACCTCCCACACGTCAAATTCTCCCCAACCCTTCAATCACTCTCTACACCTTCATTCACATCTCTCACCTTTTTTCCTTCCTGCACTCCTTACTTAATGTAACACAGCCACCTCAATCTCTCACTCCCATCCAGTGTATACATGTTATATACATTGTGTGTACGTTACAGACATATCTTTAAAATCAATTTCACTGCATTCAACAATAATCCATTAATATATTGATCAACTGAAAGCAGTAATATTAAACATAGACATGCAAACACATATAACACATAGCATAGCTGTATAGTCATTCCTACACATTTGTGTTTTTGACTTTTGGAATCTCTAGGCCACATGTGTGAAACGCAAGGCCCGTGAGCTGAATCTGGCTCACTAGGTCATTTTATGTGGCCTGTGAGGGTTTTCAATGAAAAGGCAACACAGTTACAATTATACAGTCTTACAAATGGCTAACTGAAAGCAAACATAAGGTTGATGTGACCTTTGGTGAAAATGAGTTGGACATCCCTGCTCTAGGTCGTACAATGCAGTTTTATGGTCAGCTTCCAGTAGAAATTGACCCCAGAATCATCCTGGAAGACTTAAGAGATTCTTTTGACAGTCTTTGTAAGATGAGTGTCTAATCTAGTGGTCCTCAAACTTTTTAAACAGAAGGCCAGGTCACAGTCCCTCAAACTATTAGAGGGCCAGATTACAATTTGAAAAAAAATATGAATGAATTCCTATGCACACTGCACATATCTTATTTGTAGTGCAAAAAACACTAAAAAACAATACAATATTAAAAATGAAGAACAATTTAAACAAATATAAACTTATTCATATTTTAATTGGAAGTGTGGGCCTGCTTTTGGCTGATGAGATAGGGTTGTTGTTGTTGTGTGCTTTTAAGTTGTTTCAGACTTAGGTTGACCCTGAGTGAGGGCCGGGTCAATGACCTTGGAGGTAAATGGCCCGGGCCTTAGTTTGAGGACCCCTGGTCTAATCTGTTCTCCGAAATGAGTCCAACTTGGAAACAGAAGAAAGTAATTGAAAAGTACAATACAGGCACAACATGCTATTGTCAGAACCAAGGATTGCTAGGAGCATATACTCTATATAGGCTTAGAATTTTGTGCATTGCAAATATATTGGCCCGCTGAGCTCTCTCCGTTATTCCTTTCATGGTCTTTCTGCAATTTATCAATTAATCTAAACATTATATCATTTATCTGAATACCATTTCAAATGAGACTGACCTTCATACTTCCAGGCTGAAATCTCTTTTCCTCCCATGTGTCTAGCAATAGTGATAAGCACTGCCATTGTCTCATTAACTACAATGCATAGCTATCTGCTCTAATACCCATCAGGTATAATGTTATAAACGTTACACAAGACAATTGAGCAGTTACACTTATAAGTACATCTAAAGCAGGACTTCCGCCAGAAATGTTGGGCAGCTTTTTTAAAAAAAAAATGTAGATGCAAAGATCTGAATCATTGTGTATGTTCCATTCATAGGTTATATAAACTGCAGGGCCATCTCTGCAAACAGGGTATTGTTCCTAGGTTATACATGTCTGTTCCTGGTTGCCCTTATTGTGAAAAGATGTCTAACGTTGACTAGAGGCCACAACTTTGTCCTGGCCAGAGAAAATGTGCCCTCCACATGTTTCATGTGGCACACAAACAAAATGTTTGCCTTCTACTCAAGTGTCACCTTCGTTTTTAGGAACCGACAAACATCTAAAACCCAGAAACAAACCTAGTTTTAAAATTCCTTCACTTCTGAGTGCACGGACATACATACATTTGAAGATGCGGATTTTTGGCTCAGAACTGGGATATCCCCGCACCTGAATATGTTGCATTTTTTTCTGTTTGTAGCTATTGCTTCTGCATTTACAGGGAATGGCATCTGGCCACTCTCCTGTTTAATGCAGAAGCTCCTGGGATAAAGGTACTGTCTGGACGGACTCCTAGTTGAGCCACCATCCCAGCTCTCTGTCCTGGCTTATCTCTCCAAAAGCTGCAGGTCTCAGGCCCTTTGGTGGGATAACTTTCCTCCTCTCCCATTACTCTAAGGAAGTAAGTGGCTTGATCTTCCAGGACAGTGGTTCTCAACCTGGGGTCCCCAGATGTTTTTGGCCTTCAACTCCCAGAAATCCTAACAGCTGGTAAACTGGCTGGGATTTCTGGGAGTTGTAGGCCAAAACACCTGGGGACCCACAGGTTGAGAATCACTGTTTCAGGATTTCCCCCCTTTTTGGCCATGACCACATACAAAAGCCTAGTTCTCATCTCCCTTCTGGGATTCCTGAGGGGGAGGCTGCAATTGTTCCAGGCCCATCATCCCGGCAAGCCACTTTGCTGGACATGCTCGTGCTATGAATATTTGACAAAGGGGCTTGAGCAGAGTTTGTTAAAAAGAACATCCCTGATGAATTATTTATCAAAACAGAAAGGGATAAAAAATTGGTCCCCTCTGGGAAAATACACACACATAAAGAGTAAGGTAATGGTTATAACTAAAGCTTGACTTGTCTTCTTTCTGTCTTATGGCGACCCTAAGACAAGCACACTATGGGGCTTCTTGTCAAGATGCATTCAGAGGGGTTTTGTCTTTGCTTTCCTCTGATGCTGAGAGGGCGTGACATGTCCAAGGTGAACCAGTGGGTTTTCGTGACCAGAGGGTATTCAAACCCTTGGCTCCAGAGTTATGGTTCAATGATCGAACCACAACAGCATGCTCAAAACACAGCAGCATCACAATGCTTAACTATTTGTCTTTGTGAGAGTCTGACTGTCATTTCTGACTACAGCCACTAGAGGTGGCCATTACCTTTCCTTGTAAGGCAGATGGAACGCTCCATATCAAAAGCCCAGACATTTTAGTTCCATCCTGTAGATACATAGGGAGCACACTTACCCCCAGTCCATACCAATTTTATCTATGTACCCTCATCCTGTATTTTGCATTAACTTGCATTGGTTTTGTAAATAAAAATTGCATTTCTATTTTCATAGACATGGTTATTTTTGAACTATTTTCTGACAAAACCTCCTACATATACCTACATTTTTGCTAGAAGTGTGTAACCCCCTGGCCTACTGTGATTTTGTATGTACCATGTATAACTAGCTATTTAGAACAGGTGCAAAGAAACCCAGTTACTGATTTAGAAAGATGTATATGGGGACACTAGCACTTTTTTAAAAGAGTTGGAAGAGACCTCATGGGCCATCTAGTCCAACCCCCTGCCAAGAAGCAGGAAAATTACATTCAAAGCACCCCTGACAGGTGGCCATTAAACCTCTGTTTAAAAGCCTCCAAAGAAGGAACCTCTACCACACTCTGGGGCAGAGAGTTCCACTGCTGAACAGCTCTCACAGTCAGGAAGTTCTTCCTCATGTTCAGATGGAATCTCCTTTCTTGTAGTTTGAAGCCATTGTTCTGCATCCTAGTCTCCAGGGAAGCAGAAAACAAGCTTGCTCCCTCCTCCCTACGACTTCAGAGGGGTTTTGTCTTTGCTCTCACATATTTATACATGGCTATCATATCTCCTCTCAGCCATGAATGTTGGTGTATATCAGGCACAAATGCACACTGAGCAGTTTGTCAGTTATTCTACACAGTAATATAACAGCATCCTTTACTGTGTATGAATGTCATTCAAACAATTCTAATTCTCACAGGCTTAAATTTACTTACAATGACGTAACATCTTAAATGGATTCTGGGCCAATATCTCTAAGGGCACATTTCTGAATTCATTCTATACCAAAATATGTCATGTTAAATCACAGAATCATTGAAACACACAGTTGGAAGGGGGCCCATTTGTATTTTTTGCTTTATTTTTTATGCTGAGAACTGCATCACAAAATGCAAAGAAGCATGAGAGCCAAAGATAATTCCAAAGCTGCCATTCATCTGGAAAGCCGAGATCAAGATCAAATTCCTCAGGCATCCCTCCTATCACACTGGTATCTTTATGTAGATATGCTGCACACTCTTCCCGCATGCAAGGACATGGTTAGTTCATTTAGGGGAATATGAAACTCAAGATGTGGAATTGCAACATGAACAACATTGCCACGTTCAATGAATGCCATAGATAATGGTTTCCATCATGGTCCCTCTACTTGCAATCTCACTAATTTTTTCAGTACCAACTCTTTAGAATACTAGGCACTGGTTGGGCTCCACTTCATGGGAGGGGATGCTCAAAAGAAATTCTTGCCATGGTCCTGGTTATTTCTACATTCCAGACGTCACCCACAGTTTAAAAAGAATTGCCTTCTGAGGCTACAAGAAACCCCATTGAACATTATCTAGCCATGATAATCAGCTTGAGTTCTTCCATGTCAACATGGCTACTAGCACTAAAGATCAGATCCAGAATGTAGTCTGCAATGTACGTGATACTAGCTATCACTTGGGATGGAGCCACAGTTATCAAAGAGGAGGCAAAGATCCAAGTCACTCCTGGCAGGTCAGTCTCAATATAAATGCTGAAGTTCTCCGTACCTCAAGCTGGGGGAATTCCAGCATCACCCAAGATCAATGTGACCAGCCAAAAACTGTAGACTGTAAAGCAATGGGATGGGTGGCATAGCAACAGAATCATTATTTTCTCTTGGGATATGTATACTCAAACCTGATGCACAGTGAGATTGAGCACTTCATGAAGGGGTTAAAATTGCAACCTTGTTTGTAGACCACTGCAACTCTGCTTCCCAATTCTCAGGTCTTGCCTGTTTTGAGGAGAACTCAGGTAGGCAAAGCTTCCCCTCCTCAACTCCATCCAACCAGGTCTTTGTAATACAAACAAGGCTGATACACTAATTTAGGATCAAAGTCCTGGACAGCTGTTGTTTTCCTACTGACTGAGCTGGCATTCAGCAGCAGCATTTCATCTGAGAGGGGCTATTGCTATGCTATCCAATCTATATGGGTGTAATGTGGAAGCAACAAGGTCCCTCTTGCATTCCCATCTCCTGGAGCACCATGGCTTCCTTTCTACTGAATGTTTCTCTGCAGTCTGTACAAATATAAAATGCCTCTCAAGCTTCTCTTCACCACTCCCCCACGTTTGGAAGCATATCCTTCCACCAGAAGGAAGGAGCTGAAACTATATGGATGGCATGTGCCTTCAAATCACCTGTTGCCGTATGGTTACCCATAGGATTTCATAGGATTTTCTTAGGCAATGGATATTTAAGGGGTGGTTCTGCCAGTTACTTCCTTTGAAATAGAGCCTACAGCACAAGGGATTCACTGGAGAGCTCTCATCTGAGTACTAAACTTAGCTCCAAAGATCAGACAGGATCTGTTGCCTTTAGGGCATTTTCATCCTATATATAAGCTTTAACAAAAACAAAGTACATTTAGTGAGATGGGGGAAGGGCTGAAACCCAAAATGTTGCAGGCAGCAATATAGTTTTCTTTGAGAAAATCATGCCTCACTAACTTGGGATCACTGCCTACAATGGGATGAGTAATTATTATTTAGTTATGTAGGTCTAGTGGGATCTTCTAAACAAAGAAACAACACATTAATGACCTTTGGAAAAGTGACAACATCCGTAGTTGATTGCGTCATACTCACGTTCCTCAAGGCCGGAGTGCTCATCCTTCTGGGACTCGAGCAGGGCATGGGCTTGGGCCAAAGGGCAACTTCCAGGACTGTGCCCAGGCTCTGAGCTGGCATGGGGACAGCAGCTTGGACTGTGGGGTTCCTGGCTCTCGGTGTTGGCATCTTCTTCATCTGCTTGCTGTTTGCAGAGGTGGTGTTCAACCATCATCTGGAGCTCTGAAAAGCGAAATATGGTTGAGAGAAGGAAGCAGAAGATACATGAAGCCTGTGAACTTTGAGGAATATCTGTGTACATTTTCTCATCGATTAAAAAATCATTGTAAAAAGTAAACTGCTTGCTCACACTACGAATTTACCTACAGTGTCTAATGATGGTAGTGGTGGCTGGTTAACCATGACAGTGAACCTGTTTTGGGTGTTAGTTTCCAGTCCCAATTTAAAGTGCAAGTTTTCACCTACAAAGCCCTGAATGGTTTGGGTCCTGCCTATCTTTGCAACCACACCTTCCCCTACGAACTGGTGTGGGCTCTACGATCTGCCGGAGAGGCCTTCCTCTCGCTCCCGCCACCATCCCAAGCATGGTTGGTGGGAACGAGAGAGGGGACCTTCTTGGTGGTGGCTCCCTAGCTCTGGAACTTCCTCCCCACGGAGATTAGACTAGCCCCCACTCTTTCCGCCTTCTGTAGGAATTTGAAAACCTATATGTCTCAATGTGCATTTGAATGATGATGAGTCAGTTTATGATTGCCCAGTCCTAATTTACTGATAAGAATGTATTCAGCACTCCAATCCCAGCCCTATAGTTTGCTTTTTGTACAAGCCCATACCCTGCCCTCTCTAGTCTTATCATCCTGGTTACTGGTTGTTGGGATTGGTTTGATACACTTTTACAATGTTTTTATACTTTGCCATTCTTAATTGTTTTAATTAGATTTTATGTTATTATATTTTTATTATATGTTATTATATTTTAAACTGTGTTTTAGCTGGTAAATTTTGTTGTATGCTGGGATTGGTCTCCATGTAAGCTGCTCCAAGTCCCTTCGGGAAGGTGGTGGTGGGGTATAAAAATAAAGTAGTAGTAGTAGTAGTAGTAGTACTTCCTCTGGTAAATTTTGCTGTATGCTGGGCTTGGTCCCCATGTAAGCTGCTCCAAGTCCCTTCGGGAAGATGGTGGTGGGGTATAAAAATAAAGTAGTAGTAGTAGTAGTACTTCTTCTTCTTCTTCTTCTTCTTCTTCCAGTTCAAACTTTAAAGGTGATTACAGTGATGAGGAACACTATCTGCTGCAGAGGTTCAGAACTTGGATTCTTAAAGTTCAGAATCCAGACTGGATGTCAAATCCATTTCTGAAATGGCTATATTTGAAACCTGCTCCATGACATGCTTCCTATTTCTAGGAACCTCAAACTGTGACCCTCCAGTGGCTTGGGCCTCCCAAGTCCCAGAAACTTAGCCAGCTTGTTTAATGGTTAGGAATTCTGGGAGTTGGCCCAAACTACTGGAGGGCTGCAGTTTTAGAATGCCTGTTCTAAGTCCTCCAATGAGATTCCATTGATTGTGACCAGGAATCTTTGGGTCCTCCAATGAGAAAACGTAGAGATTCCTAGGCCTTCTCATAGGTCAACTTCCACTAGAAAGTGTGCTGGAGGATTTAGAGATTTCTAGACATAACAAGATCCTCTGGTCAATGTCAGGTAGAAGTTGATCATACAGGACCTATAAGCTGGAGAACATATAGGTTCGTAGAAGGCTGTTCTAAAAGTGTTTTCTTTATTCAGTTTCCCTACCTTCTTAGGGGTCCTGTGCCCCCATTCTGAGCAAATGAGGCAAGCTGAATGTAAAAACCTTGCTTTTTAAGTGGAAGGGCTTGAATCTGTGTCTGTATGAGTGGAATTTCTGCATCTCACATCCAGGCCAAGTGCTCTGATTTTGGAAACAGGCCCCTCTTCATCTTTTTAGTTTCCTTTCCTTTTTCCCTTTCTTCTTTCAAGATCCATTAACCTACATGGTGCTCTGAAAAAGAACCTACAACCCCTTCCCAGCTTGAGAGATATCAGCTTCAGAGCTGCACTTCCCAGAACCGTGAGGCTGTACAACACTCTTGGAGGGAATACAGAGCAACATAAAAGATAAATCATCTTTAATGCAAAATTCATGAGGGAAGATTAGTAGAGGAGATGACAACTGGACGAATGTGAAAAGAAAAGTTGAAGAGGGAAGAGTATGTGCTTGCAGCATGGGAAACAAAACAGCTTACAAAATCACGGAAGAGAGATAACAAAGGACTTGAAAAGTTTGTTCATACATTCAGAATAATCTTCCATGTGCTGTCTCCGGTTAAACTGCAAATTGGAGGTTATGGACATGAACATTCACCTGTGTCAAAGAAACCTCTCTCAATAATGAGATATCAAGGAGAAGGTTAGGCACAAACCTCTCTCCTGGTCGTGCTATTTTTCTACATGCAGGGAACCTCACCTCCAACCAACAGTCAGAGACATACCTGCCATTTTCAGTTTAAACCAGGAGAATCCTAATGCAGAATGATTATTTCATGAGTGCAGATCAGCTCTAAGAGTCAGGCATTCGGGGACTCCATCACACAGAAAGGTTTATCAAACAACTGCCAGAGGCAGTTTACGTGCAACTAGGCCTGCTTAAATCCAATTGGGGGTTATGGAAAGGAATGGATTTTCTGACCTTTGAAGGTATATTCCAGTCCTATAATTTGACAATACTAATTTAGAAATAAATCCTAGGCTCTCTTAACAAGCAAGGCATTAATCACAGGATGGCACTACTGGGATCTCGCCAAATACGGAGCACAGCAGCAACTCTGTGTCTGCATGTGAGAGTGATGCATCACTTTTAAAAACAGCCAGTCTCTAGGCACTGGGTCCTGGCTAATTTTGGAAGCTAAACAGGATCTGGCCTTGTTAGCACTTGGAATGGAGACTGCCAAGGAATCTCAGGTGCTGTAGCCTTTGTTTCAGAGGAAGGCAAGAGCAAAACACTGCTGAGTATTCCTTGCCTAAGGAAACCCTATGAATGTCATGGGGTTGCCATAAGTCGACAAGTGACTTGCAGGTACATACTGTACATTACTTAGAGCAGGCGTGGGCAAACTTTGTCCCTCCAGGTGTTTTGGACTTCAACTCCCACAATTCCTAACAGCCACAACTGGTAGGCTGGTAGGAATTGTGGGAGTTAAAGTCCAAAACACCTGGAGGGACAAAGTTTGCCCATGCCTGACTTAGAGACCAAAGCTATATATAGCCAGCGAATATGCATTTCTGCTCCTGACCGTTTTGTCATTCCACAGAGAAAGGGAGTGAGACGGTATGTGTGCTGTTTGCACTGATGCTACATTGTACTTGTTTGGAAGGAATTTCAGCCTTGTAGCAAGTGATTATCTCTGAATGAGCCCCCATTCTTTCCCAGAGCATAGAAAAGGTAGAGGAACTTTCCTGGCAATTCACGAAACCACCGTGAGTCTCAGAAAGAAGAGCTGTCCTGCTGTTTGCTGAGTATCTACAAAGTCAATGCAAGGTCACATAACAGCTTCCACTGTTTTTCAGGCTTCATAAAAAAAGGAAAGGGCTCTTGCTGGATTAAATCAGAGGTTACAAATACAAAGCTTGGGGGTGCACACAGATTGGTTCATGATTGTACTTCTCCCAGCATTCAACATGCAACACCCACCCCATATTTTATCATTTAATATACAGATGGGAATCATGCAGTCTATTGTTTATATGTAGCTGGGAAAAGGCATGCAACCCTTGGGCCCTTGCAATTTTGGGCTGAAAAATAATCCAGGGCCTGCCATTTAGAACTTTTTTTAATCGTTTTATTGGTTTTTCCCACTCCCACCCTCCCCTCCTTGTACATGCCATTTATACATCAAACTACAGAAGTTACATTTGAAATATCAGTCTCAGTCTTAATTTTTCTACTCCACATCTTAACACATCTAAATAATTCCTAACTGGTTCCCACATCCTCTTAGTTATTGTAACCTTTTCAATTTTATCTATATTATTCCATTTGCAATTTGTTATTTCCACATTTAACATATTCACTATATAGTTATACCAATTAATCAGCGTCCATTTTGTTTTGTCTTTCCAACCCCTCACTAAAACAATTTGTGCACACGCGATTAATTTGTCAACCATTTTTTCCTTTTGTATATTCTTCACTCCAGCTATCCGTGCATGTAATATATTTCTACTAATTATTACTATTTTTAAATTGAACATTCTATTGATTTCCCCTTCAATCCTTTTCCAGTATTCTTGCACTTGATCACATTCCCATATCATATGATTAAACACCCCTCTTTGTTCACAGCCATGCCAACACCTATCCTTGATCCCTGGTACAAAGCGTGAAAGTTGTGCAGGAGTTCTGTACCATTTTTGTAACATTTTCCTTCTTGCTTCCCTTAATACATTATACTTTTCTTTTGCTATATTACTTATTTCCCTTTGGATGTCTTCCCTCTCAATTTCCATGTCCAATCTCCATGTTTGGAAAATTTCTCTATTATTTCTTCTTTTACTGTTATAATTTGGTCGTACAGATCTCCTGCTACTTTCTTCTCCCCTCTCAAACATTTCCTAATCACCTTCTCAAATGGACTATCCTGTTCTCTAATTTTTCCCCTCCGTCTAAAAATTTCCTGTCTTATAGCCCAGCTTTGAGGCCTGCCATTTAGAACTGTACTTGGAGACATGCCCTAAAAGAACTGAACATTTCCCTCATATGGGCCAGAATTGTCTGGTTCATTAGCAACCACTTCCAATTCTGAAAAGAAATGGCAAAGTGGTGTGCTATAGGCTAGGAAGGCCTGAAAATGTCCTAATCCTCAAAACATACCTACTCCTGTTGAAAAAGATGGGCAACAAGTAACAGCTTATGGGGCTGCCCAGGTGATTTGGAATGACACCTTTCACATCTCATACAGGTTGACCATCCCTGGATAAAATAACACACATGCTAGCAAGTGACAAGCACAATTTTGGGTCTCTTCTCCAGTTAACTAGTCTCTCAGCTAGACAAGCTGTTACCTTTCATGGTGGGGGTAGTACGGGAAACCTTCTTCCTCTGCCTTGGTGACATTGCCAGTCCCGGCTGCAAAGAGAGGAAAAGGTGAGATGCTTCATGGAGATTTCACAACCATCAAAAATCAGCTAAGTTCTGGATCTTACAGGTTGAGGAATCTAAACAATTGCAGCTGGTGGCTTCCATGTCCATGGAGCTATGAATTGACACTGGGCTTTGGTATGAGGTTTGAAGGAGGTATCCAAGGAACCAAGCCCTGTACCCGAAACTAGATAACTCAATTAAAATTCAGACTAAGGACCTTATCATATTAGCCTTTTAAAGTGCTAGGTCCTACTTTCAATTGTTTGGCTGCCTCCCACAGAATTCTGGGAAATGTAGTTTAGGATCTCTATGGCTGAAAATTCCAAATTCCCTGCCCTAAACTACAAGCCACTGAATTCTGCGGAGGCAGCCACACAGTTGAGAGCAAGACACAGCACTTTAAAAAGCTTAATGTGATATCCAGAGTGGATTCATTACTCCATTGACACATGGGCCATCAGCTGCTGCTGAATGACATAAAGTTGTATGTGAGAAGTAGGACCTTATCAAGGCATCTAACACATCCAGTATCGTCTCTCTGATGGGTAAAACCCATCAAGTGGACTACGACCACTTGATGGATTTATATTTTCAGTCAATATCTCAACAAGCAAATAAAACCCACAGCGAAAACCTCTACCCTCTTTACATCTCCTCCCTCCAACCTTCCAACTACAGAATTGATACACTCCAGTGAAGCAACTGCTGGAATGAAATCCTTCCTAGATTGTACTACTTCAAGATGTAGATGGCAAAATGTCAACGTGCAAAAGGTAAGTGTGGCTCCTCCTTCACAAAAGCACCTACTATATTTTATGAAGAAATCAGGGGAAAGGTTACGTTGCAATATACAGATCAATATACAGGTTGAGCATACCTTATCTGAAATGTTTGGGATCACAAATGTTTTGGGATGTTGTAAGTTTTTTTGGGCTATATGGCCATGTTGTAGTGGCATTCTCTCCTGACGTTTCGCCTGCATCTATGGATGCTTGCCATAGATGCAGGCGAAACGTCAGGAGAGAATGCCTCTAGAACATAGCCATATAGCCCGAAAAAACCTACAACATCCCAGTGATTCCAGCCATGAAAACCTTCAACAATTCAAATGTTTTGGATTCTAGGTTTGATATCTGGATTTTACTTACATTTGCATATACGAACATTATCTTGGAGATGAGAATCAAAGCTCAACCTGAAATGCATTTAATTTTCATATACACCTTATGCAATAGCCTGAAAATAATATGATGCACAATATTTTAAATAATTTTGTGCATAGAATCATGTGTATGCATACCGAACCATCAGAAAGCAAAGGTGTCACCAACCACTCATGTTGACAACTTCAAATTTTGTAGTATTTTGGAATTCTGGAAATGTTCAAACTGTACTATTTTTCTATAGATCAAGGCAAAATAGTTCTACGGGACATTCCTAATTGAAAAATTGAAAGACTGCTCCTTTTATAGAACAAATGGATTGACTGTAGGATTTTGTGTGTGTGTGTGTGTCAGGAGCGACTTGAGAAACCGCAAGTCGTTACTGGTGTGAGAGAATTGGCTGTCTACAAGGACATTGCCCAGGGGATGCCCGGATGTTTTTGATATTTTACCATTCTTGTGAGAGGTTTCTCTCATGTCCCCACATGGGGAGCTGGAGTTGACAGAGGGAGCTCAATCCATTGTTCCTGGATTCGAATTGCTAACCTATCGATCATCAGTCCTGCTAGCACTAGGGTTTAACCCATTGTGGACATAATATAATATTATATAATATCTTCTACAATTATAACATATAATTATATTATATAATATTATATAATTACAATATTACATAATATAATATTTTAGTTCAATTGATAGGTCAGACCTATTTTTTTTTTTTGTCATTTTCAGTGTTGCAGTCTATCCAGCAGCTACCTACAGGTAGACTGTGACAAGATCTTCCATTGCAACCTTTTGGTGCCTGCATGTTCATAATCAGCAATGAATGTCTTAGATTCCTGCTGTGTTGGAAGCATTAATTATATCCCTAGTGTAACAGAAACTAACAAGTCTAATTTCTAAATGTTTGTAGGGGATAAATAAATATGACGTTAATGAAAAGAGGTGAGTGGAATAAAGAATTATAGACTGTCTGTGCAAATTAAGCAATGGAAAATTGTCCTCACTCCAATGTCTAGCAAAAAATTGATGTTCCAAGCATATTGGATGCCATTATGCCTTTAAAAGAAGAAACTGCCTGCTAAATGCTTGCAACACAATACAAGCAGCTCTCCACCATGGAAGTGTAAAAGCACTTCCATGATTACACCTGTCTGGGAATCTCTGAATTCTCCACAGTATCTTATGGTCACCTTTCATGGAAAGTTGACCACAGAACTGCATTGGAGGACCTAGAGATTCACTTTCTTCAACACCATACTGAAACTGCATTAAATGGTCAGTGTAAATGGGGCCTGAGGATCAAAATGGAGTGTCATCTGATACCACTGCAGTTTGATACCACTTTAATTGCCAAGGTTCAATACAACGGAGTACTGTATGTTGTAGTTTGGTGAGACACCAGTTTTATTTTGGCAGAGAAGGAAAAAGAGCTTGTTAAACTACAAACCCCAGGATTCAGTAGAATTGAGCCATGGCAGTTAAAGTGGTGTCAAGATGCAATAATTCTACAGTTTAGTTGCATCCTAAGACATATCACCACTTAATTCTTCTTGTTCACAGCAACTGGCCTCCATTTGCTCACTTGCAGGAGAAGCAAGAGCACATACCTTCAACAGAGGGTTGGGAAGTCGGTCTTCATCGATTTCTGGAAAGTGGAGACACATAAGAAAGATAATAGAGTGAAAAAACCAAGAGATAAAGTTGTCACAATGAACAGACATTATTGTTGTTGTTGTTGTTGTTGTTGTTGTTGCATTATGTCGATGTGAGTGACTTTCACTAGGAGGAGACATAAGACAGATTGGGCTCTATTGGTTAGGTCAGAGGATGGTTTGCATTATACTAGTAAGAGTTTATATTTTTTAATTGCTTAATAACTGGAAGGACACAACTGTCCTCAAGCTAAAAAAGTCCTACTATGAGCATCTGTGATCTAAATGGTATTATTTGCATGTGTGCAGCCAGGCTACCCGCATGTTTGCTTCATGGCCATTGGTTATTCTCTCTTTGGAGGATCATGGGAGCATAATCCAAAAATGCGAACCTTTCCAAACTCTGGCATTTTCTTCATGGAGAACTTTGAAGTTCCAGAAGCCTAGCTCTGGCTGAGCTACACTATTGGCAAAGTGAGTGCAAGCAGTTGCAAATTGTACTACTATGCCAGTGAAAGGAGCCCCCAGTGGTGCAGCAGGTTAAAACGGTGAGCTGCTGAACTTACTGATGGTTCGAATCCAGGGAGCAGGGTGAGTGCCCACTGTTAGCCCTAGCTTCTGTCAACCTAGCAGTTCGAAAACTGCCAGTTTGATATCAGCCAGCATGCGAACACCTTAAATCAAGAAATAGTTTTCTAAGGTCTACAGAGATACGCACAGGAACACCTCAGCAAGCGAGAGTCCAAAAGTGGTTGGCTAAACACTAGCACCTCAATCCATGGCTGATACCAAATGAGAGACTCCCCCCGGGCACACAGAAGACTGGGCAACTTGGAAGGCACTGAACAGGCTGTGTTCTGGCACCATGAAATTCAGAGCCAACCTTAAGAAATGGAGCTGCAAAGTGGAGTCCACAACATGTAAGTGTGAAGGGCAAACCACAGACCATCTATTACAATGCAGCCTGAGCCCTGCCACATGCACAACGGAGGGCCTTCTTATGGCAACACCAGAGGCACTCCAAATGGCCAGTTACTGGTCAAAGGACATTTAATAGAATACTAAGTTGCAAATGTGAGTAGATCAATAGGTACCACTCCGGTGGGAAGGTGATGGCACTCCATGCAGTCATGCTGGCCACATGACCTTGGAGGTGTATATGGACACCTATGACTCTTTGGCTTAGAAATGGAGATAAGCACCACCACCCAGAGTCGGATATGACTAGACTTAATGTCAAGGGGAAATCTTTACCTCTACCTTATGCCAGTGAAGTGATGAATCTTTTCTGGGTTTCAGGTCAAACTTTAACTATGCAAGTACTGAACCTACACTGGGGGTGGGATTCCTCAATTTGGTCAGACTATTTTAAGGCTGGATCTACACTGCCATATAATCCAGATTATCTACTTTGGATTATATGAGTCTACACTGCTATATAATCAAATTCAATGCATATTAATCTGGATTTTATATGGCAGTGGAGATGGGGCCTAAGTCTGAACTGAAATTAGGAATGGACACATTCCCCACCAATATGACCATCAGATGCTAGTAAGAGCACAGAGAATGTATAGTTCTCTTGATGTTACTGAAAGCCAAATGCTACCATTGGCAAGAGACAATGGGGGTTAATGGTTCAGGAAGATCTGGAGTGCTACACATCCATCACCCCTGAGCTAGGGAAGAGCATGCAATTTCCTTGTTAAAATATGTTTTGAGCACTAATTTAAATCCAAAAGATTAACAATGGCAGCATCAATGCTCTGCTAGATACCTATATGAAGCATGATCACAAGCAGAAGCAATCTCCTCTAAAAGCATATAGAAAGTAAAGATGCTTTACATCTTTTCAAAATGGCTTCAAGCAATGAACTCAATCCTACCAAGGTAAGCCTGTGTGTCTGGGGAATTGCAGCATCCAAATCAAGGCTCTCAATGCATATATCTCTTTGCAGGTGGCCTGAAGCTATTTCCACGATCCAAAAGTGCAACAATGTGCCCTAGCAAATCCACTGATGTTATGGTGGTAATGGTTGTTATTATTAAATCATATACCATCTTTTGTCCAGTTTGGGGTGCACAGTTACAAGATATATACATACAATTACAATTAATTACATTAATCAAAATATTATTAAACTAGCTATAAAATAAAATCAGATAAAAGCATAACTATCAAAACCAAGAAATAAACAAGACAAAGACACAGCTGTATTAGTTTAGAACAGGTCATCTTAAACTTTTCCACTTTGAAACCCTTATTGGCTTGAGAATTTTTTCAATGACCCCAGGTATATAGGTATAGAAATTGGTATAAAAATTAAACATTTACTGAGATCAAACCAGCATCTTGAAGGTTTGCAAAGCAGGCTGATTTTCCTTTTTATAAAGTACAGCTGGAGCGTTTTCTGCAGAGTCTGCTGTAAACACTGCACATTTGTTGCTAACAGATTAGTGTACACGGGTGACATTCAGAATTTTTTTACTATTCCCAATTTTTGGCACCCCAACATTGAGCTCAGGGAACCTGCGGTTTAAGAAACAGTGGTCTAGAATATCAGTATAAATAGGGATCTTTTCTCAGATGCATATGGAGGAGCAGACTTTGGGTGTCGTCTAAACAGCAGAAGCAATCCAATTTGACAACAATATGGAATCATGGGGATGTTATGTAATGCTACCCAACTTAATTTTTCTCATACTCTAAGGCAGTGGTTCCCAACCTTTTTTTGACCAGGGACCACTTTCCAAAAGGGTTACAAATCCATTTTTGATCAACTTTACATTTGGTTTGGTTATTCGTGGTGCTGATTCAGAAAATTGCATTGGATGGACCACATCAGTTCTACTTTCTGATACAGAACATATGCCATCCAGGAGTCGCTATCTGCTCAACCACAGAAAACCTCAGCCCACAGGTTGGAAACCTCTGCTCTAAGGTGATACAAAATCCCTTTGCAAACAAATAAATACAGAGAGATAGAACGGTATAATTTGGCAAGACTCTTTTTCCTTGAGCAGTCAGACTTCAACATTTTTTAAGACTTCTGATTTTTTAAAAAAGTTTTTTAACTGTCTGTAGAAAAATAGCAGGGAAAGTGCTAGTCTAACTTTTCTTGGAAGGGAGTTCCAGAGCCTGGGAGTAAGGATAAGTAATGCCTCCTTCTCCAGCTCTGTACCTACTATTGAGCTGGACTACAAGTCCCCTCATCTTCCAGCCAGTGTGTAAAACCAAAAGCCATTATCAGCTTTGGTCAATGTCCATGGTGGCTGGGGAATGATGGGTATTGTAGCCCAATACTTCCGAAAAGCAAAACACATCCGAAATGCTGCCTAAATCTAACTGTAAACAAAAACACTGCTTTTGTTTACAATAAAAGTAGGTTCAAAAGAATCACCATCAACTGAAAATATTTATCTTTACCAATCAACAGGCATTTCCTGCCAGCTTGTTCAATGCAACAGGAGAAGAAAGTTGAAAAGCATCTGAATATCTGCTGTGATATTAAGAGGGGAAATTAATTCTGTGGTTGGGTATGTGTTTGTGGAGGGAAGGCATCCATTATAGCTAAAGAGCATGGGGAGAAACCAATTTAATCATAGGTGTGCACTACATCTCTGTGTGAAGTCTGCCATCTTCTGATCTGGGCATTGTGCCTGCATTTCTCCAGGGCAAAGAGGTGCTCCTAAGCTGATGAGCATTTCCTTGTGCCAGAACTCTTAAATGCACAGGTTGAATTTCCAAGGTAGGTGAGAATTAAGAAAATAGAAAGTTAATGCCAGCCAGAGCTCAGTGCAGCTTCAACTTAATTTCATGCCAGGACTCTACTGTTCAGCCTGAAAAACCTCACCTCCAAATCTAGCATAAGGTCCTTGAGGTCTTTTTTGATTCATTAAAGATGGGAATAAAAAAACAGACCCCAAACTTTGTTTTTTTTAAAAAAATCTAATACAATGCATCAAGAGCTATAGGCAAAAAGGCTAGAGACATTATTCTACCCTCACTCCCCTTTTGGCACTCACATCTTTTTTATTATTATGATGAACATATTAAGATCTTTTTAATTTTAGTTACCAAACAAAACTGCCAAGAAAAAGAAGAAATAACCATAAACCCAATTTATTAAACAAAGACAGATGGTTATAGATGGAAACATTAACATGTGTTGTGAAATTTGATTCTGAAACCTGCTAATTTAATGTAAAACCAAATGTTTTGCAAAGTTCCACATAGACAGAACTAAGGCAACCATCTCTCCACCCGCAACCCACATCTTAAGCTTCTGCACGTGATGATTTAGTGGCTTGTGAGGGAGAGGCTGAGGACAACATTCAGCTCCATTTCTATAGCTGGAATCACAGCAATTGGTACACTCTGGGATATTTCATAAAGCCACGAAAATGAGCCCGTGTCCTTGGGCCAGTCACAGTCTCCCATCTTGATTTACTTCAAAGGATCAGCAGGGAGCAGCCAGGGGCCAGACTGCTGTTGTGGAATTATGACTGCATTACACAGTCATAACTGTTTTGTTTTCATCTGCCATATATATTTCATAGTTTATGGGACACAAAGGAATGGAGAGTCCCCAATCACCACTTCTCAGGCAGCAACCACTGCAATTGATAAGGGTCTGTTCCCATGTTGCTAAGCTGACTGACATTCCCATACCCCTTTCAACCCTGCTTCACAATGGAGATTATCCACAGGTTGGAGTGGGAATATCATTCAGCAGCTTCCCAGCTGATAGGGGAGTAGACCCCTATCAATTGAAGTGATTGGTTCCTGGCACATGGGGGTGGGGATGGGTGGGGATCAGGGCGGGAGTCACTGTGTAGCCCCAAAGCTATGGTGCTTACACATTTGTAACTCCCTAACAAGATTCTGGACAAACTTTCTAACTTGAGCTCACTGGAGAAAATGTAGTATATCAATGCAATAAACAAGCTACTCCACACTCTGAAGGAAAGATTTGTCCCCCACAAAGCAAGA